CGTCACCGGCCTGTGGACAGCGCTTCGTCGGCATCCACTTTCCTCTCGACCGAGCGCAACCCGACAGATCCATGAACAAGGTGTACTGAGGGCTTTGGACCCTGATTCCGAATCTGAGACGGAGGTTGTTTTAAATCCTTGTGAGGCTGACCGTATCGGTCTGGTCCTTCAAGGAAGGCAGCATGCCCTGGCTCCCGAAGGTTGCCAGGATCGCGCAGCTCCCGAGCCAGCTCGTCTTCTCGAGCCGGGGTGGCAAGGAAACCGCCGCGTTATGTAGCCACCGCAGTCAGCTTTATATGCTTGCCTTCCAGGGAAGGAAGTGCAGCGTGGTGTCTTGCTACGCTGCTGTCAAAGGTGCCCATAACGGTGCCCCGTTTTGCAAACGTCATTTGACCGAAGGTTTGCGGAGCCCCAGCCCGAAGGGATCTCGTGCCCCCGTTAAATGACAGGGCGAGGGGTCTTTGTCCTCGGCTCTTAGAGTAGCCTCTAGTAGTCATCCAGTCGTCAATGCCACGCCCGATCCTGCTGATCGACGAGTCTCTTTCGAGGCGCCGGATGGGATCGTGAATCTCGAGTCGACACCGACCACACCAGTAGGAAGAGCGGCGACACCGCCCCCGTCGGGAGCCAAGATGGAGCCCGACTTTCCAGGCGAGGTCTCTAGTATGGAGGGCCTGGTGCTGGTCCGGATTCGCTTGGAACGGGAGTGGCGAGGAACAAGCGGGTGTGCATTGAGGTGCCGTCCCTCTCTCTGGTTTTGTCTATCCCTTGGGCCAGTGTGGGGGCAACCCCTCAGATTTCCCAGCACCGTCTGCCCAGTGGCTGGCTAAAGCAGTGCCTGAACACCAACCAACTTGGAGGCTCTCATGGTAAGTGGCTGGACGATTGGGATGGAGTTGCAGTAAACCCTTTCACCAGTTCTCCCTCTCTGATTTTCTGAGGAGGCTTATCGCTCAACCGGAGCTTTGCCTACTTTCGCATGACGAAGGACGGTTGCTCCTCCCAGGCAAGGAGGACTTCGCCACCCCACCAAGACCTACTACACGAGAAGACGGGGGACCTGCGCATGGAGAAGGCCCTCTTTGGGTGATGCCAGATGACTCCTTACCGAGTGATCTCGAGCTTTGGGCTCAGTATGAGGAAGAAAAGGCGCGGAGTGGTGATCCCGCGAGCGCTATCGCTCTCCTGGCCACAGCCTAGGAGCAAGAACCAGACGTGGTGCGCGCCGCAATCATGCGATGTTTGGAGCGGGATACCCCTTTTGAACCCCTTGGCGCTGAACCTCGACTCCCACTCAGCTCTCCTCTCAGGGCCCGCCGGGGCTGGCAACTCAGGATCCGTCCGCGTCCAGTACCGCTTGGGCGGACACCCGCCTGGAGGGCAGGAGTCCGCGCGGGTAATAAGGGCACTCTTACTTCCATTAGGGAAGGGGAGAAGCTCGATGTCTTCCTTGCACGAGGGTGTGGCCAGCTCACAGTGGAAGTGTGTGAGGGAGTCTATGGGAAAGAGCTCTTTCATTCGCTGAAAAGGATGGGACATCATGCTAAGCACGAATTGTTGCTTTTGAAATGGCCTGTTCTTATCACAAATCGCCTGGCTTTGGCCGTCTCCGGCCTTTGGTGGGGTGGGGATGAAACGTTCACACTCCTGGCGTCCGACTGCCAAACCGCCAGGGCCGATCAGATAGAACTCTGGTCGCCTCCGACTGAACGCAAGATCGAGGGGCGATCCAAACCGCCCGCTTCTTTCTTGACCTGGCTGCGCTATGCCGAGAACCACACCCGGGTCTTTGGAGCGGTTTACGGAATCGAACACATGTCGGAGCGGCTGGCTTTTCTGAAAGCACTGCAAGAGGCGCATGAAGAGGATGAACATGCGTATCCGACCGCTTATTGCATTAAACTTTTCGAAGAGTTGAATGCTGTTTGGGTTGAACAGGTGCGGGAGGCCCGAAGGACCCTTTTGCGCAAAGCTTGGTACAGAGAATCCTCGCATGGAGGATCTGAAGCTCATCGCACTCGCGCCTGGGCCCGGTGGGCTCCCAAACTTTCGTTTCTCCGAGAGTTTGGGACCTCAAGGACCCCGCCAGGTACTTCCAACAGGTCGTGGTCCCGAGGCAGGAAAGAGCCCTTAACCGGTTGCTCCATCGTCAGCTACATGACGCCGCCACTAAGGAGAAGAGGGGAGGCAACCGCAAAACCGCAGGAACTGAAGGGAAGACACCTGCCGAGATCGACCCGAAAACAGGTGCTGCCCCCAGACTTGCACTTACTGACACCCCCAGTGGGCCTGACCCCCCTAGGCCGAATCCTAAGAGAGACAGAAAGACCGAGATCAAGAGGTCCATTGCTCAGGTACCAGAAAACCCCAAGTCCAAGACCCCCATCTGCTGGGACGCTGCGTGCCACATTGGGTGCCTTCGGCCCCCTATGCAGAAACTGGATTACTCTGTCGCAATGCAGGTGTTGAGGCGGGGGGGCTTGAAGAATGGTCCGAAGATTAATCTGAAGGACGTCGACGGGCGTGTCGCTCAGCTCCGAGCTCAGCACAAAGCCGAGGTCGCAGATAAGGCTGCAGAAGGCAAGGCCAAAGCCAAGGCCAAAGCCAAAGGCAAGGCCGGGTGGCTCGTCCCCGATGACTATTCTGGCAAGGTGACTTCGATGGAACAGGACTTGGGCGAACTGGCCCTGGGACCTGACTTTGGCTGGCATGATGCCTTCCGAGCCGCGCAGTTTGTGGACACTCGCCCCCTGGCGGGCGATGAACCCAGCAAGCGTACTGCCTGCTACGAAGCCTTAAAGGATGGTGGGTATCTCAGATCTCATGTGGCCTCTCACCTGGTCAACGCTCGGCTTTTGGGTGATATGAGCCTGTCAGTGGAGGATATCCTCCGAAACGCAGTTGATCATGGGCATCCCCACTCGCTGAATAAGCACATTCTGCCATGACGTCGTCTAATTCGCTGAACCTTAAGGCAGGGCGCCAGGAGCCCGAGCATGAAGCAAAGCTATCCAACACCACCTGGGCATCTGACGGTCTGGGGCATGGAGAGCTTCAGTTTCTGGCTTCTCCGTTCTCTACTTTTGGGTCTGTTCCCTTTCTAGATTATAGAGATTAGTTGGAGTTGCTGGACACGGACTGGTTCCATGAACCGATTGCTGTCGAAACCAGACAATGTCTAGCTTTGCGTGCAGGGGCTGCCCTGGCTGGGCCAGATGAGTCTCGTGGCGTTGCGGCCGTCCGCCTTAGGCTGGAGATGTTGAAGGAAGCGGTTAATGCTTTCGGGCACTTAGGCGATGCTCCTCCCTATGTTAGCGAAGCTGAGGCCTTTATTCGGCGCAACGCGCACGATGCTTATTACCCCCATCATGAGAAAGATTATCGCTTGCTAGCACTGTTCGCCCCCCAGTTCATGCGGGGCGCTCAGTTGTTGGTGTTGCGTCTTTCTCAGTCGGGGCGTCTTGAAGGCGACGTGGTACGTGGCCAGGGTGCCACCACCCGTTATGGTACTGTTTTGATACATCGTGGTCATATGCGGCATGTTCAGGTTCCCGCAGCTGCCCATCAGGAGCTACTCCAGGCTTTGGAAGCATCTGGGCGACTAGTGAGGGAGGTCCAAGCAGACGGCTGGCCTACTTATCTTGACTCTATGGAATCGTTGGGGGAGTTTCTCTCCTCCAAGCCCTTTCCGTGTATCCGCTGCCATCGGCCCCAGACCCAGTACAAAGTAGGCCTCCCCTTCAGTGAAGCACCTTGGGATCCTGCGCTTTCCCCAGTTCTGCCAGACTCGGTTCCTCTTAAGGATCGCCCTCAATTTGCCAAGGGTATCTACGTTCAGGAGGTGTTTGCTGGTTGGGGTGGATGGACAAGTGGGATGCTTCGCCAGGGCTTTCGTGCCGACCCCCCCATTGAGTACTACGAGGTCCCGCTGCAGCTTGTTGGGCCCCGCCCTGAGCATGACATCCAGGACGCCGCCGTCCGTGCCGCTTTGCTTGAGAAGGCTCGTGCTCCGCCGGACGCTGACGTGCCCAACCTCTGGGAATGGGAAACCCCGTGCACTACTTACTGCGATTATCAGCGACTTAACGGGGGGACGCGAACTTCACTTCGCCCCGAAGGTGATGGCAGCCGCGCTGATGAGGTCCAGGGCAACGAGTTCGCCAAGTTCGCCAGCGAACTGTGCCTCGAGCTGCGAAGCAGTGCGCTCATGGGACAGTATCCCAAAATCTGGGATTTGCCATGCGTGCGGCGATTGCGGGAGCAAACCGGTGCGCGCATTGTCCCTATGCACATGTGCGTGTGGTTCCTCCAGCCTCACACTTGCCAGCCGCATCAGTTCCACAAAAAGGCCACTTGGTGGCTTGTGTCTGCGGAACTGTTCCCATGGGTGCATCTTTTCTTGGCTCGTCGTTGCCCGGGCGTCACCGCTCATCATACCCACGTCCCACTTGGAGGCCCTAGTCATTTGCCGGGCGTGCCCGCCACTCGTGTCGCTCAGCAGTTTACCGTTCCGCTCTGTGCCGCCTGGGGCCTCGCGGTGCGCGGCTTTTGAGCAATGGGACTGGCGGCAGTATCTTGCTGGCCGCTCTGCTGTTCGTGCGCTGGAGGTCTACACGGCCGTGTCCGGGGCACCTGGCTGCCCACCGGTCGACCTCACTCTGATCCAACGCAGGAGAGTGGAAGACAGTTCTGGACCCTGCTGACTTTCGCAGGAGGTTTGGGGCTCCGGGTTTCCTCGAACCTCGTCCCCGCCTTAGCTCAGATAACCTGACTCAGATTGCCTCAGCAAGCGCGCCGGCGAGGGAGGAGCCTTAGGCGGCTGAGAACGCCCCTTGCGAGGCCCCGGACGTGAAGGTAGGGCTGACATCGGCCAGAGGGTTAGCCCAAGCCGACCTACAGGGCTGTGGGGTCAGTTACTCAGCCGACGCACTGTCCTCTGCTGTCCGGTTAGGCAGCGAGCTCGTCTGCTTTCCAAAGGGAACCTGCTGGAAGCAGCTGCCCGTGGAGAGATTGCCGGGGTCAGCAAGTTGCACGCGGAGTATCTCAAGGAGATGTCAGAGTACGGAGTTCCCAGTCGTAGGAGCGATCTTCCGGTCCGAGTAGAAGCCCACAATCACGGCTCCGTGCATGGGTAGGACGAACTGATGGAAAAGGCCTGGAAGGATGCTGTTTATGGGGCCGTGTTGCTCAAGGAGATATTGGAGCGCTCGCGAGTCGCCGAGAGCCCCTTGGGACGCGTTCCTAAGCAAAATCCGGATAGGACGATATCGTCCGAAGGGCGTCCCATCAACGACATGCGCTTGCGAAACTCCAAAGGGTCCAAGTATAATCACCCACCTGCTCCCCAGCCAAGGCATCAGAGTGTGGCTAGGCAGTTCTTGTGGTGGCACGCCAGGCACCCTGGTATTCCCCAGCGACGCGCCAAGCGAGACGTTCCCAGAGCTTTCAAATGGCATTTCCTGAGATTTTACGATGTTTCAGAATTTGCCGTTCGCTTAGCCGGGGTCCTCATTATCAGTTTGGTTATGCCATTCGGCTGGGTGGGAGCCCCAGGTGAGTTTGTGGCTTGGTCAATGGCGGCCCAAGCTCATCATCGATCGTTCACCCCGCCTTGCCCGGAGTGGAACGACATCGTTCCGTATGAGTCAAAATGGCTCATGGATGATGGGGTTGTCCTCGAACCTTTAGTGGGGAACCGGGTTCAGCACTCGCTTAATTGCCTCGATGACACTATGCGGCTCGTTTGGGGACCCGAGGGAGTTAATGTGGAAAAAATGGCAGAGGAAGGACACCCTTCATCTTGCCAACTCCTTTGGGGACTCCACATGAACTTTGACGAACTTCAGGTCTCTCTCCCCGAACCCAAAAGGATGAAGGCCAAGTACCTTCTCGCGGAGGCCACCCTCCAAAGAGGATGCCGAACCATCCCCTTGAAGCTGTTGAGGGAGCTTGCAGGCTCCTTTATTCGCTGATGCATGTCCCTTCAGGAGATGAGGGAAAGTGGCAACCCCTCGTCCTAACGAGGATCCTGACCGTCTTTGGGAGGAATTTTGGGATGCTTTGGACTTCATCCGGCTCCAATTGGAGCGCCCGGTCGCGGCTAGCTTCAACGCTTCGTTTGAAAAACTTCTCCCGATTCGGGGGCTGCTAGCCTTGCCAGGAGTGGCGCAGAGAACACGTATCGTTGGAGGAGACGCGAGTTTATCCCGGTTCGGCGCTGTGGATTGGAAGGCCAAGCGATTTATGGTTGCGGAAACAGCGACCTTCATTGCTGCGATAAGGTCTTCCCTCACCGAGGCGGACCAGGTTGAAATTATCGCCATTATGGAACTCTTGACTTTTGTAAGGAAGTCATCTTCTACGTGACGGACAATCAAAACGTCCAATCGTGGCTTGCTAAGCGTAGGCCTAAGTCGCGGGCCGCCCGGAGGCTCACCCTTCTTCTGCATCGCCTAGAGGTTGAGTGTCATTTCCGGTGTGTCCCGGTTTATATCCGCACATATCGGAGTCAACTCGCTGACTGGTTGAGTAGGGAGGAGCTGGCCAAGGTCAGGTCTGACCTTGAAGCCGAAGGCTGGGTTGAAGTTGAGTTCTCCGGGGACTGGCAGCAACTGGTCGAGGACGCCCGCTTCGGCCCCCTGGTCCTCCCAGGGGAAAAGGGCGCAACCGCTCAACTTGCTAGGCAGCTCGCGGTAAGTAACCTCCCCAGAACTTTGCCAAGGTTGGTTTGGATTCGCTCAGATTGGGAAGTTGTGTTGCACGGCCCCAAGGAAGTCTCATCAGCGGTGCAAGCTTTGGTCCGACACGGACATGAGATTAGTCAAGCTGGCCGGTTCCTCTGGTCGTCCCTCTCTCAGGACCCCAGCGGATCGGAACTGGCAAGAGGCTTTCTGGCGCTCGATGCAGCGCTCCGTGAGGGCCGGCTCGTGTCAGCAGCGCTGGACGCTCCTAGGCATCTTGACCCCTCTCTCATTCTTGAGGAATTTCGTTGCCGAGGCCTGAATTGCAGTTCAACCCCTTATCGCACCTCCGACCTTGGGGTTCCAACAGCACGTCGGCGGCATTGCATCAGCGGAGCTAAGCCGCCCTTCTCACCGGATCTGGAAGCACTTGGCCGACCTGACGAAGGACTGTTCCTGAGGGGAAAAGTTACGGCTGAGCCTACGATCATGACCGGCGGGGATCTGGTTGCCCCATCCCGCGGGCCACTTCCACGATGAGACTGGCAAGCACTTGCTACACTCTGAGTCGGGTCCTGCTTGTGCGATGACAGGTAGACCTGACCCATTAAAGGGCTACGGTGGTACTCTGCTCCTGGTCGACGGAGGACACGCCCGAGCCCTTTCCGGGAGGTGGCTGGTATCTTGGGGCTGTCACCAGCCGATTATCTTGGCTGTATCAGCCAATCCTCGGAGGAAGATGTGCATCTCGCACTCGCTAGAGAGCCCGGGTGGCAAGCAGCAGCCTCAGTAATCGGTTGGGTTGAAGAGCAGCTGAACCACCCTGACCCCACTGAGGAAAAGGCTGGCAACTGTATAGACCCTGCGGACCAGGAAGCCTTGGCTCAACTTGAGGTCTGGCTGCAGGCCTGGAAAAGGTCGCCCAGCGACCCAAAGTCCCAGCTTACGCTGATCCCTCGCAAGCTGCGGGTCTCGAGCCCAGCTCACACCGGGATTCCAGTTTGGAAGCCTTCAGTGAGATCCGGGTCGGCGGTCGCCCTAAGTCGATCCCAAAATCTTTAACTTCCCTGGATCATCGAAAGCTTGTGCAGCCACGCTTCCAGACCGCAACCGGTCCCCGGTTTTCCGGGTTGCAGGACCTTGATCGATGGGGTCAGGAAGCCGTCCTCAGCAAGCTCGCGGATTCCACCCGCAAGGCCTACGGCACTGGCTGGAGGCATTGGGAAGTCTTCATGTCTGGAACGGGAGTCTCTCCTTTCTTAGAAGGAGAAACCCGGGTTGAGCGCCTGGCTGACGAACAATGGCTCATCAGGTTTGTCGTGTTCCTACATGAGGTGATGGGGCGAACCGCCCAAGGTATCCGCCAAAGGCTCTCCGCCGTTCGATATGCTCACATCGCGGCCGGATTCCCTGACCCGTTGCAGGGCCGTGTCAGGCTTTGGGCGAGCCTTCAAGGACTTGCCAGGTGGGAAAACGCTCCTGTCCGTAAAGTGCCTGTTACCCCAACCGTGTTAGGGTGGGTTCGTCGGTATTTGTCACGGGGGCAGGGGGCGCCAGGAAGCCCAGGCTCTTTTGGAGTGCAATTTGCACCGGCTGGTTCTTTATGCTCAGGGCGTCGGAGTATCTTCCGCCCCCCAACCCTCTTCATGGCTCTCGTAGGGTCCTTAGGGGATGTGATGTTCTGTTTTACAAGGGCGGTCAACTGTCCGATTTCCGGGACGCTGATGAGGTCTCAATTCAGCTCCGTGAGGCCAAAAATGACCAATTTCAACGGGGTCAGACCCGTTCACATCATGCCACTGGGCTCGACATTTGCCCGGTAAAGGCTCTTCAAGACCACGCCCGGCAGAACCCCATTTGGGTCACCGACCCTTCGGCCGTCGTTTTTCAGTATCAAGGTTTGGGGGTTACCAGGGACCAGGTTTCGGATCTGCTTCGTCTTGCTGCCGTTGCTGAGGGCTACCCCTCTCATCTAGTGGGTTCGCACAGCCTTAGGAAGGGAGGGGCTACGGCCATGCTTGCATGCACTGATGATTTAGAGCAGGTTAAGAGATTTGGGGGTTGGAAATCAGATGCTGTTCATGCTTGTCTGTATGCTGATCATGCTGCTGGCAGGGGTAGAGCGTCGGACATGCTCAAATCAAAGCCAATTTTGTCCTCTACGCAGCGAGCTGGATCGCAGCCCCCGACAGAGAAGAGTCCGGCCGCTTACCGGCCCAGTAGCGCCTTAGGAACTCGGTGTGGAGGCGACCCTCCCGTGGGAGGCCATCCTCCAGGGCCTCGACGCGCAGTTACCACAAGACCTTGATCAAGGAGGGCCACCAGGGAGTCAACTCCCACCGAGGTCGAAAAGGCCTACCGGCGCAAGTGCTTGGAGTGGCACCTGGACAAGTGGGGCACGAAGCCGGAGGCCGAGCAGAAGAAGGTGGAGGAGGCGTTCAAGAACATCGGGGTGGCGGTCTCTCGTGCCATCTACGATGACCTCGTAAGGAACGCGGCCGAAAGCAGTGAAGTGTCTGAGGAGGAAGGGGCTTGGCGCCCCCTTCCGGAGGCCGCCTACTGGACTCCACCTCTTCCTCGTCTTCGAGCCGCGCCTCCGCCCGCTTCAAGAGGGCCCTTCGACGGGGGCGCCGCTGCCCGTACACTTTTTCTAGCGAATGGCAGCGGGAGCAGCAAAGACAATGGGATGGAGCCCATGCTGCCCGTGCTGCCCGGAATAGACCAAAGCCGTCCACTTCGGATAGCAAGGTCCGATTTTCAACGAGCTAGCGACGCTGCAGATGCACAATGGGCGGCAGGAGGGGCGTATACCGCTCAAGGGCCGGAAGACTGGAGCCAGTGCCCGAAACCCCCCGCCCCCGCCAAGGGGTACCGCCGATGCAACCAGCGAAGGGCTGGGATGGTGAGAGCCAAAGCCCAGGGTCGAATATCGGGCGGCGAAAGGAGTTTCCTTTACAGCCCCGAGAAGCGGGCCGGCGCCGGCCGCGAAGGGGTCCTCCGCCTACACGTACAAGGGCCGCGCCGCCCCCTCAGCCGAAGCAAGCACAGGCGGCGGCACCTCCGCCTCACTCAGCCTCAGCAAACCCCTAAATCTGGTGCAGCCGGGCAGCCCAAAGCTCGCAACATTTGGGGCTGGCTGTGTGGAGGTTGCGGCAACCCGAACCTGCTGCAAGGAAGGTGTACGGCCTGTCAGGAGGTCAAGACTTTGGGAGCTGCGCCTGTGCAGGGTACCCACTACTGGCGGTGCCGGGTTTGCAGCGAAGAGAACAAAGTCAGTCGACAGGCCTGCATGAGCTGCTTCCGGCCAAGGGATGAAAAAGCGGACTTGTTGAGGGTGACAGCGCCCAACGGCTTCGGCGTCCTGCCTCACCTTCAGCGGCTTTTTCCGGGGTTTCCCCTACAACAGGTCCAGCTAGATCACGGTGCCGAAGAAGGCTCCTTCGACGTCGTCCAGGCCGGCGCCGGCCGTGATCCCCAAGAAAGCTCCCTTAAAGGGAGCGAGGACACGGCCACCGGTGGCCCATGTGATGGTCTCCAGCTCTGGAGCCCTGCTTCGCAACACCAGTGAAAACATCACCAGACGTTCGAGGCGCTTGGTGCTGCCGGACGCGCTGCTGGCCGAACTCAGCCGGATCCGAAGCCCCTTGATGAGGGCGCAATGTCCCGCTGCAGCAGTTTATGGAGAAAGCAGGCTTTTCTCCGCGGGAACTGTTTTCTCCGCGGGAACTGCGGGCGCGCCCCACGTTGTTTGCGCTGGAAGACCAAGCTGGTTTGGAGCCACTCACTGCCCTGCTGGAGAGGCGCCCGGACAAGCCCAGAACATCTTTGTCCTGGAGGACGTCCCGCTATCGCCAAGGGCAACTACGGTGGTGGAGCAGGGGCTGCCATCAGCGCGCAACCTGGAGCTGGCGGTAGCCCACTTGGTGTCGAAGAAGGTGATCCTTTCGCTTCCTCAGGCGGAGAGGAAGCGCCAAGGACACTTACAGAGGAGGCGGGACAGGCGCCGGTCGCTGAGAGGTACCAGGTGGGGGTCAACCCCCCTCACACAGAGGCACCAAAGACCCCGCCATCCCTCCTGCGGCCAAACCACCGGTCCCTCGCAGCACCCGAAAGGGCCACCTAATGGACCACCTCCACCCACAGTGGCGGCTTCCTCTTCGACGACCGCTACGACAGTTCCGGAGGCACCCTCCTCGACGTCGGCAGCAGGTTCAGGGGCGCCCAAAGCGCCGACCGGCGGCAGCTGTGGCACTGAAGTGTCGGAAAGTGACGGCGGCCAAGGCGGACAAGTTCCTCGTTCTCCGGATGAAGTACTGAGAGATAGCCCAGGGCCTAAGACTTTTTACCCCCCACCAAGGAAGGGTACTGAGAATGACCCTGGGCCAAAGGCCACGACGCCCCGGAAAAATGTGGTGCTCATCTTTCTTGTCAGCCGAGGAAACTGCGCGCCTCGAAAGAGAGGACGCAGAGTTCCGCGCCTGGCGCCTGTTTGAGAACCGGCAGCACTCTAATCCCTCCCATGGAAAGCCCTCGCGTTTCACGGCTGATGCTGATCCTAAGTATCATGAGGACCTCCAACGAGGAGCCACGAAACACGAGGCTTTCCGGCAGCATAAATCCCGTATGCGTGCCTCCGCTAAACAGGCTGCAGCGGGACCGCCACCGGTCGTATTTAAAGTGTCCAAAGGACCTGGGATGCAATCTCAGGGGAGTTTTCACCGCAGAGCGGTGATGAATCGCGTGCATGGGTTGGCGCGTGAGGGTTTCGAACCTACCCCGGAGGAGTACAGCCGGGCGGTTACAATGGAACACCTCGCTGACCTTGTTGCACAGAGAGCGTCCGAGGCGCAGGCCGACACCGGCCCGGCAGCTGAAAGCAGCAGTCAGACCAACACCAGCCGTGGTGCAGAGCACCGCAGCCGGTCCCGAGGACACTAGGACCAGACCTCACCAGTTCCCCTGCTGGAAAAAGATCCCAAACGTGCGCAGGGTTTCCGTTAGGGAGGTTTCGGTCACGTACTCTCTCACATTAATATAGGCGGCGCAGGCACTGCCATAAGGTGTGCTACAGCGGCATCGTGTTTAAAGTGGGTAGGTTCAGACTTTGTTCATGAGGGGGTGTCACCACCCGGTGTCCCCCCCCCCTTTTCCTTGCAAGTTTTGGGTCTGAACCCACGGGATGCACATGTGCCAGCCTTTCGTGCAAAAGAGAGTGAATTGTTTGCTGTGCTGCATGCGCTTTAAGCCGACATGTTGCACCATTTTGTCATGACACATGCGTGAGTACAGAACGAAGTTGTTGCATGGCTGTCGTGAGGTTTGCCTGAGATTTGGTTGATGGTTCGGTTGTTGGGATGATGTGAAGATGTTGTTGCATGATTGTCGTGAAGTTGTCTTGGGGTCGTTGTGAGGTTGTTGTGTGACATTTTCGTGAGATGCTCTGTATAGCTTCATGTGGCTGTACGGCTTCTACTGCACAGGGTCGGGCTGGCGGGATTTGCCGCGCCTCTCCGACATGGGGCTGGCGCCGGGAGCGTCCTGCGCATTCTGGCCTCGAGTCAGTTGAAGCAGTAAGCCTGGCGTATCGTGACGCTGGCCCATGGCGGTTTTTTGTGGCGTGTTTATTGGCCTGCGTGGAGCGTCCTCCGAATTGTGGCCGCAATCGACAATCCTCCCATTGGGCCCGGCTTGCGGCGACGCTTGTGAATTCTGGTCGAGTTCATCAACCCTCTCGTTGTCCGCGGCGTGTCGTGATGGTGGCACATGGAGGGTCCTCAGAATTCTGACCGCGATCAACAACCTTCTCGGTGTTCGCGCGTGTCGTGACGCCATTGCTTGGAGCGTCTTCTGAAGTATGGCCGCGATCAACAACCTCTTATTGGGCCCGGCGTGTTGGCATGTTGCGATGCTGGCGCGTGCTGCGTCCTGCGAATTCTCGTGATCGGCAACCTTCTTTCGGTTCGCGGCGTGTCGTAACGTTGGCGCGTGGAGAGTCCTGTGAATTCTGCTTGGAATTGTCGAGCTTCGCCGTGGTCGTGGCCATAGCAAGGGTGAGTGTCATAACAATAGCACTATCGAGGAGGAACAGAAAAAGTAGTAGGAATAGTGATAGGAGATAGTATTTGAAAACTCTCGCAGTAACAGTAACAGGTACAGTTACAGTAGTAACAGTAAATACTGAATAACAATTGGGATTTCACGCCGTGTGTGTGTGTAAACAGACACAAGCATCCATGCGATAGAACAAATGGTATGATGTAGCGTGGGATGGCTTGATGACCTGGTTGTACGGTCTTCGTACTGTCTCGGGTGGACTTTGAGGGTGATGCCATGAGATGTGGTTTGCGTCATGGTGATTTCCTGGATGCGCTGGTTAACGTGAGAGGAAAGTGCATGCTTCAGTTTCCTTCTGTAGTGCGACGAGATTCATAGTTCCTCGGTTTCTGTGATTGTAGGAAATTGCCCACGCCGGCATGAGTTGGCTTGGGGTCCTGTGCTCACAGCAAGCAGGATGATGCACAAGGATCTTACAGGAAGCCGCCTGTCATCAGGCACACCACATTGCGTGAGGGTGCTGGGCTGGCATAGAGTATGGTTTTCAGAATCTGCAGGAACCATGAACACTGAAGTATGCTATGGGGTTGCAGCACGCAATAAGACAAGTTCAGTTCTCGTCCGAAGGTTCCGGGAGCCCCAGCCTTCTACAGACCTTTGAGGCTTGCAGGGCATCCAGTCCACTCCTTTCACAGTTTCTGTAGCCCGCTGCCTTACTGACATTTGTCATTGCAACATGATGAAGATTGGGGAAACGGATGTAGACGGTAAGGAGAGGGAAGACTAGAGCCTCGTCTCACTCCTTGAATTGAAGTGTGCCCTTGCACCAGTTGTAAACACCTGCGTCCGTTTGTTTGTGCACGAAGGTATTGGCATCGCTGGCGAACATGTTCCAGTGGAAGCGCGTGATGTGCTGTCTGCACGACATTAAGCGTAGCCAGATAGACCACATGGCTCATGGTACAGTTCTCCTGGCATATGTGCAAGCTGGACAATGGCAACGGGTGTTGCGTGAAGCTTCCAGTCTGTCCCCAGTCTATGACAACATCGAAGATGTTCTTGTGGGCTGCGCGGTGGCGGAAGCATGTGTACAGGGTTGGAGATTGCAAGCATCTCCCAGTGTCTTTCATACCCTGGGAGATCTAGTCAAGCAATGTGTCCAACGATGGCTTGTTAAAACGAACAGCACTGCCAGAGGGCAGCGTGAGCTGTGGACTATGTCCTGGAAGTCTCCAGTGCAAGCTGCAGGCAGCAGAGTGGCCCTTTGGATACAGCGTGATGAACGCCATGGCTCAGGCAGTGCCTTGCAGCACATCTTGTCGTCTTCAGGAGTAGACGCGATGAGATGGACAGGCTCGAGCATCGAAGGATATGGTGACATCTAACACACTCCTGGGGGTCCTGAGCGAGGCCTCTGCACCTGCAAAATAGGTATGCGTGCTCTCAGATGTGACTTTGGCGGCGCAGGTGGCTCTTTGGGAGCATTCCTTGCGCTTTTTGTGCGAAGACATCCTGCCATACTCAGACAGCTTCAGCGCGACGGCTGTGGCTGGAGGTTTTGCCACGGCTCGACGATGGGATGGTGCCCTCAGCGTCGTGTCTGCGCTGCTCGGTAGACTGCAGCAGCGGCCGTTTTCCGTTCACCAGTCCAGAACAAAGGTTTGCGCAGTGCAGAACCTCACTGAATGCGCCCGGCATCACAGCTGTCATCACAGCGTGTTTTGACCACTGGCGCTTCGGACTAGGCTTCGGTTTTTGCGCGATGACTAGTTGGCTTGAAAGCTTGTATTTTGCTTGCCTTTCTTGCGCAACCGTGGCAGGATTTCTTCGCAGTCTCAAGAATGCCGTGAGCTGCAATGCGGCCCTCGCCTCCTCTGCATCCTCCACGGCGTGGCGAGCCACCTTGCAGCTGCTTCAGGCAGGGAACGGCTCACTTGCTTACCCGAGCGTTCTTCCGACAATTTGTCGTGTCTTCGGCACAGGCCATGCGACTTCAGTCGTTGATTGCTGACATAGTGTCCCACACGGCTATTCTGAACTCTTGCGCGCGCTTGTCACTTTGGCAACCAGCACTTCTACAAGTACAGCACTTGGAAATCTCCAGGTGGTCCGGAGTCGTGTAAGCTTCAGCCAATTGTGGCTCCCCTTCCTCTAGGAAAGCAATTTACTATAGTTTGCAGAACCCTAGCATGGATATGCTTGCCTGCATGAGCCTGATCTGATGAAGCGCATGGACAGGATTGAGCTTGACAGCCTCAGTCTGAGTTCCTGCGCTTCAGCATGTGAACTATCTTCCCAATGTGTCTCAGCTGGTTGGAGCACAAGCATTCCATGAAATTCAGTGTAGTGTTTCTTGGACATTTTTGAAGCGTGCAGCTGCTTTGCCCCAAGGCCAAACCCGACCCAGCTTGGGCAAGGCGATCTGCTGGAATCATCAAGCAGGTTTCTTCAGTTGAACACCAGGCCTTAATGGAGGATGCTGCAACATGTTTCTCTCAAGCCGAGAGGGTCAGGTGCCCTGACCTGCAGAAGCAACGCTGTTGGCCGTGGAGAAGAGCATGAGCTACGGAGGGCAAGGGAAACCGCGTCCTAGATTCAGAGAATTCATAGACTCATCCCACACTGCAGTGGCTATTGCCGAACATGGTACGTTCCGGTCGCTCCGGTCGATTGGATCTCTGGACCCGCGTCTGGACAAACTCACAAGCAGGCACGTTGGCAAAGGAAGAAGTCAAAGTCGGCGATAAAACGCCATGATGGCAAGGCGGAGTTCCAGTTTGCTGTTGGACTGCTCCGAATGTTACCCGAAGAACTTTGCTTCCATGAGGCATGCAGAAGCAGTGTCTCCAAATCCTGTTTGTGAAGTGAAGTGGATACAGACAAGGTCAGCAGCAGAAAAGCCCTCCGTATTAGCAGAGTCTCTTGCTGGATTACAGAGGTTGCAGACTTTCGCCGCCTTTTATCGTATTTCTGCAGGCGCATGTGATGCTGCATCTGCAACGGCCAATGTTTCAACGTTTCTGCTCAGCCTCGCTCATCATTCGGGAAGTCGTAGCCATGCCACTGGTTACTGTGCTTACAGATGTGGACGCTGTCATCGCGGCCAAGAAAGAGGCTTTCGCACTGCCAAGTGTGCGAACGGTAGTGCCTCAATGTATATTGTTCATAACTGGAGAGGTGACGGCCATGGTTCACAACGTTCCGTCCTCAGTGTCACAAAGCAACAACAACATGGAGCAGAGCTCGAGGCTGTCAAAACGGCTCTGGGGAAGCCTGACCAGTACATCACGGTGGCGCTGACCAAGGCACTCCCATTGCAGGCCTAGCACCGAATTATGCCTGGAAGCAAGCTGAGCCAGGCAGAGTGCATCACGGTCGCAGGACAGGAGGCATCCGTGGTCAGGCACCTACGTGGGAGCGAACAGCATCTGGAACTACAGCAGGTAAGCACATGCCAGCAGCCCTCTGAGGTTGTGGAGGTTGACTCCATCGGTGGTGATTTTGGCGCTGTCATTGGGGCCATAGCTGATGGTTTGAAGGCGTGTTGCTCTTGAGGGGGCACTGGCCGACGTGGCTTTTGTTACGAGCCAGGCGCATGGTGTGGAGCCCTCCAAGGCTAAGCTTACTACTAGAATGCAAACAGCGCTATTTTGCGGGCATTGTCCAGGTGACTGGAACCTTTCGAGGTGTATCTTTCAAGGCACCTTGATTCAAAATTTGCAGCTGCATGCTTTTGAGTTGATGCACAGGAGTTTGCGATGAATGGTCGTCCTTTGGGCTGATCCGGCGTAACAAGCCGGCAGATTCGTCAACGACTTGCAGATGTTGTGATTACGAAAAAGAAGCACCCAGTCCAGGCAGACGTAGTTCGGAATGGCATAACTGCCAGCGTACCTGGAGAGAGCTGCCAGGATAAAACGAACACTGCAGTTGAATCATCTGGCGTAGAATTGCTTGAATGGATGCAGAAGGAGGTGGCTTTGCATCTTACGCTCCAAAAGCAATGCGTGCAAATGCGCAGCTCTGGACCACAGTAGTAGAAGCAGCAAGAGCAATCTTCACAATGAGAAACAAGAAACTATGATGAGAAGCAGATGCTGTGGCAGCATGGATGCTCTCATGCTCTGGGCACGCTGGTAGCAGGTCATGGCTGCGTCATGGCTTGGACATAAGGCAAGGACAAGCGAATGACCAGCGATGAGCACGGATTTGTTATGGTTAAAGCATGCGCGCAATGGCAAACAGAAATGTTGGTAGCACGGACATCGTGCTGGCTTGTTCAGGCAGTGGTGTAATGACAAGCGGATGCACGGCATCAGCAACAACATGCACGGCATACCGAGTGTAGGTCAGTAGGGCCAGAGCAAGGTGCTCTGGGGAACAGTGCTCGATGTAGAAGCATGCTCACGGGTTATGCTATGCGCGACAGATGGAGGCCATCCAAGTGCTTGCGATACCTCCATGCGAGGGATTGTTCTGTTTCCTCAGGCCCAGTTGCCCCCGCTTGCCGGAGATGCTCTGGACGTTGGGTCACTGCAGGCGCGTTGGTTGCCTCTGAGGTTTTCCATACCGAGGGTTCGCAAGGTTTGCACATAGAGAATCATCTGGTGCAGCATTTGTTGCTTTGAGTTGGCAGATCTGTGTGTTCTCAACGCAAGAATCCCGGCCTTTATATCCTGCATTTTGGCTATCTTCCCGAGGTTCGGTCAAAAACCATTGAGTAGAAGGCGGTGTGACATGAGATGCCTTCCTGAGCCAAGTCCAAGTCTGTGTGCGGTCACTCAAATCAAGCGGCCTGACAAGTTGTGTTGAAGCACGGGATCAACGGGCAAAGGCGTGGGCCGAAACGGAAGAGCAGTTGGTGAAAGAGGTGCAGACTGCCAGACTCAAGACAGCTTCTTCTGACGAAATGTCACAGAGGTGCAATCGAGCCTCTCTGTCACACGGCTGAAGGACAGCCCTCTGCTCCAGGGGAAGCTTTCCTGTGCTGTTATGTGGGGGGCTCTGAGGAAGAGGCCCATGTGCAGAAGAATCCTGCATCAGAAGGCTGGACTCCGACCCTGATACAGTCTCGTCTCCATGGGTTCAAAAAGCTTTGACGGGAATCCTTGTTGCAACAGGAGAGAGCCCAACGGCATCAGCGATCGCAATTGCTCGCGACTAAGCTTTCTGATAGTGGCCCTTCGTTATGTTGCCACGTCACATGCTGCTAAGGCTCGACTTGCATGCCTGCTCAGTACATCATCAGCAGAGCTGCTGCAACGGTGGGATGAAGATCAGGCCCCAGCAAGAGACAGGCGGTGGCAGGCGGCAGTTTGTCATGATGTCCTCCCAGGCAAAGTTGGCATGTGAGCTTGGAGTGAGCACAAAGGCTTGGCTGTTAGCAATCATCGAACGTCGCCAGATGTTTGTCCGGCAGGTGTGCCGACTGAGCGAAGGGCTGCTGCATGCGAGAGCTGCAAGGAGTGCATCGTACCATAGGCGTTGCATCTTCACATGGCACCTTTCATGAAGTGCCCTGCTTCTTCTTCCCTCTGCCGTGAGCAAAGCGCATTGGAAGGCTTCAAGAGTTACAGGACAGGAAGCAGGCCGCAGGAAGTAGGAAGTGCAACGCAAATGATGCAATCATATTCTTGCTTTCTCAGGCCGCACAGGCTGCCCTTGGAAAAGCAGCACGCTTAGGTCCATGGGGAAATCCACTCCGGCTCCAGATTCTTTTGCTTAGGCGATGGAAATGGAGGAAGAGCCCACCTACCAAGATTCAAGATTCTTGTGAGTCGTAGAAATGGAAGATCTTCATTCAGACGCTGGCCTCTCAGGTCACCAGATGAAGATATTGAAGACGGCCATTCGCTTGCGCCTTCCGAAAACCTGTCTGAGCATGCGGAAGAACAGGCCAAGCAAGCATTTCACAATTTTGATTGGTTGTCTGGTCTCATGTTCTGCAGCAGGTGAAGAAAAGTGGCTGGAGCAACACAAAGAGGTGAACGGCCGTGCCTTGAGATTTGGAGCTTCTGCGCCAAGGCTTCCATTTCGCTTTGGATGTGACAGGATGCTTGGAAAGGGCTTCAAGAAGATTCGCGTAGGCCATTTTTTTGGCGGACCCCAAGAAAATCCACATCCTGAGAATTGCGCTTCTATGGCATTGCGCATCTATGGCTGAAGCAGGCCGCAAGGCCAAAGCAGAGAGCTTGACACCTCCCAGTGCAGGCATCTCAGTCATATCTGCTTGATGTGTTGTGGAGATCTTGCTGCAGATGTCTACATGTGTGTCCTGCCACCTTGTCCGCAGCAGCAAGAAGTACGCCGATCCGGGGACGGCTTTGGGAACTTTGGGTTTGGGGACACCGGAGCCTCTCCATGTTTGCAAAAGGTGGGACAAGCCAAAGGGTCAGGGATTTGGCAGAGTAAATGGTGGGGAATTCCCAATGCCCAAGTCATCCTTCGACAGCTTCGCATGCTCCAAGTGCTGCTGCTTTCGTTCTGTATCTTTGAGGATGCCGCCCTGAAAACAATGAAGAAGGGGATAACGTTATCCACACTGCGCATGCTATTTGCATCGGCTCACCCACAGATCGGATACATGAAATGTGCCGGTCTGGGGTTGCCCATGTTGACCGCAGCAAATCCTTGGATGCCCAGCTCAGCGAAGTAAGAAGCCTCCTACAAATGGAAGGAGTCTGTCACCCTTCAAAAAGCATTGATGGCAGATGGCATCAAAACTGCCTTGTTTGCAAGTGCAGACAAATGCAGAGTTCAATGCATCCAGTTAAGTCCCAGAGCTTTGCTAGCTTTGCTCGGGAGGGAAGCTGCTGGATCCTGGCTTTGAGCGCAGATTGGCCTCAACGCACCTGCAGACACCGCACGCGCAGCAGCAAGACACGGACCGCGAGTAAACGCAGGCAGGTGACCATGGGGGCGGGCCGAAGTGGTTCGGAATAGTTAAGCGGAACCTGATGAGCAGGCCAGGACGGTTCCTTTGAACCAGGATGAACAAAGATGCGTCATGCAACAATTCTAGCAGTTGCGTACCACAGTTCGTTCCTTGCTGATGTCGCGGCCTACTGGACATTGATATGCCTGCTGAGATTTATTTCCGACATGGTCAGGCTTGCACAAATCCAATCTAGCTGGGGGCACTGCATGCTTTTCTCGGTGCCGCAGCCGTGCGGGTCATCTACTCATTTTTGTTTGGTTGCATTTTTGAAGTTGTGAATTCTAGTGGTCGCTGGCTGCGCTGCCCTTGTTCTTGCTGCTTGTTACAGTCAATGATGACATGTGCAGGCTCGAACCCTCAATTAACTAGTTTTCCCATGTACTCACGTCAGATTCATAGCGAGACCTCCTCTTACTATACTTCAAGATGTGATCATGTGCTGACTTGCCATCGCAGCAGCAAGACAGCTGCAACAATTAGCATGTTCTTCCATCCAAGTCCTGCGAATAATATCTACAACTACTCTTCTACTGCCCGGCTTGGGGGAAAGTGCGTCGACAGAATCGGCCGCTTACCCGTGCTACTTTCAACTCTCTATCATGAGGCAACATCACCTGTCAGCTCAGTGGCCAGCGGTACGAGGACCATCACATTTCAGTTGAATCGCATTAGTTCCAAGCTCATTGAAATTAAAGTTGCGAGGACAACGTCTCCACAGAAGCAGGTAGCCTAGAAAGCAGCAGTGCCTCCCAAGAAAGTGATATACATGTGTTTTGGACACAAACAAATATCTGCAGATGCAGAGGCCGCCGACGCCGAAACAGCTCATGGTTCAGGCGGTCTGCAAAAACGAGGAGCCATTTGAACCTTGCTAGTGTTTACGGATGCAGGCCTCGAGCGATGAGCTGGTCTACACGGCCATGTCCCAAAAGCTGTGACAGAGCTCGTGCCAGTCACGCAGCCTGTGCTCGCCTAAGGCCGAGGCCATTCAACTCGCCGCAGAGGCGATGCAGATTGCGAAGCATGCATAGCAAGCCTTTCCTGCAAATCTTTACTGTCAGCTTGAGGAGATTGATGCACACTCAGCCAAGTGTGAGCAGGTTGCTGAGGCAGGTGACACCAGCAGCCATGAGCGCATGCTGCACTTCTGGGTGCAGCTGCAGGAGGTTGCGCACATCGTCAGTTCCTCTCGGGCGAGTATCATTACCAGGGAGGCAAAGCGCACCCTTCTCCGCGCACATACACGCCGAGTTTCGTTGGCTTGGCTGTAGGCTGTCCGCGATCGAGCAGATTGCTGAGACAGGAAGACTGTTGTACACGGCGTTGCGAGCACTGAGACATCGACCAGGCCTGTGCATTGGAAGAGTGGGCACGCGGCCAAGACTTGCAGCTGCAAATTTTTCATATGCTCAGCCCTGGCCTGAGAACTTGCACACTCAAAGGCAGATGAAGTGCGAGCTTTGGTTTCACGTCCCTCCTTCAGCCTGCCAAGTTGCAAATTTTCGTTTAGTCACCATGGTCATCCTGGCCACCCGCCTGCTTGTTGAGGTTTCAATTCAGATGTGAACAGCTCCGAAGCCACCTCTGCTCCATGCCTGGTTGCTCTCTAAATCCGCTAGCGTTAGAATCGTTTTTGACAGCACAGGCTGGAGACACCAACTCTCCGAAGTCTGCCAGTGAGGGTCCAGACGAAGAGGCGTCGATTGATCGTTTTAGTAAACGCTAGCGTGCTGCCGGTCCTTAGTAGACAGGATAATGTGTGGCGAGCGTGCAGGAAGCCTGCCAACATACGGCTTGCCGCGTGTTTTCGGGCGGACATTACCGTATCTGTCTGTGACATGGCGG